TACAGTGTACACAATAATATAGCCACTGAATGTTTGTCCCTCCAAATATATAGAGATAATGTCGCAGATAATTTACCGATCAATAGATAATTCCATATAAGTTGGTACAGTATACAATGCGGTAAAATGTTATGCTAAGTATTCACCAATCATTGTGTACACAGAAGTTGTGAATTTCTAAATGTATTCTAAAACTCTAAAACTTATGAGGAACCTTGTATTGATTTTTTTATTTTTTATTGAAAACATTTTTGAAAAAACTAATAAAAATTGAAAATGTCTTATGCCTGTAAGTAACTCAAAAAAGTCAAAATATTTTGAAAATTTAATGGTTTACATAAAATGTTAATATAAACATTCGGTGAAAATGTCATATATTATTTAAGGTTATTTTTTTTTTAGTTACACCAAAAATACAAAATCGATTTCGTTGAAATCCGTGTTTGCTTAAAATTCCTGTTTTTTCTTCATTTTTTTTGTTTTTCCAGGCGCGTTTAAAAACTACTGTTAATTTTCAATTTTGATCTCTTAAAAGTATCAACTAGATTTAATTTATCACCAGAAAAGGTTTTTTTTTTGAAAATCGAAACATTATTTCGATTACCTAGGTACTTATTACCTAGCTATGTCAAAAACAGACAAAAAAAAAAACATCATTATAAAATCAATATATTCTTGATTCATATCTCTAAAATTTACAATAATCGTAATTATTGAAGGTATACGTATTTTTAGCATACCTAAATGAGAAATATTTCAGTTATTAATAAAGTATGTGGGTAAAAATCACGAATATTAAAGGCACTGTTCAATAATATTGTTCATAGCGTTTATCCATAAGTTTTCTGTGATTTAACTGACGTGAGCTCGGTAAATTTACAAATGAAATTGAAAGAGTGGAGCAGATTACATATTATCATATCATTTCGTTTCTGTGGTGACTCAGATTATTAAAAATTAATATTTCTATGCGTGCAGGGGAAAAATGCAAAAATGACATGATGTCTTTTATGTATTATTGGCTTGGCGCAGATTACACATAGGCGCGTGCTTAAAATATGTTCCTAAATATTATTACAACGGTATTGCAAATCACAAGTATTAAAATTGACTCAAAATATACCATCTCTCTGTATTGTTGGTCACTTAACCTATTTGGTATAGGTACTCTAGAACGAGCGTTAGCGGCGTTCGGACACTTGGCGTACAAGTTTCTCTCTGGCGTTGGTTACAGGCCGCAAGTATAGGTATAATAATAATAATAATAATACAATTACGAGTATTACGACCGCATCGTCACCGTCATTGGAAGCGCCACGGGAATGAGAGGTTGTTTTCAAATCTGTATAATATATTATAATATTTCATACGTACCGCGATCGGCGTCGATTCGCGCCTCCGGGCCGGCGGAGGGCTTACGTAACGAAACAAATATTAACGCAGACCTATTTATTGCGCGATACCGTTTCATATATTTCAATAATAATAAATTAAATTTTATTGAAACGTAAACGAAACGACATCAAGTTCGATAATATAATATACGTACACTGTTTGCGTGTTTTTTTTATACTCATATATACATGATATAGTCATACATCTTCGCATATTATTAAATAGGTACACTATTATAACCAATAATGTTTTGTACACGCCCGTGCGTGGAATATAAATAAACAACTAAATATATATTATATTATTGTAACAGTATAGTATATTACTGAGGCCGTCGATCGTGTATTATTGTATTAATTTAATAATATGTAATACTATGTACTGCAGGTTAACCAATTACAATATTCACAATAGCATACGCTTATAAATGATGCAAACATATTTTATAATACACTAGTAATTATTAATTATTAATTATTAATAACTACGCTATCGTTGTACTGTTGTATACAGCTGTGTCGAAAAAAAGTAGGTACTTACGCGAACTTAGCGCGGACGATGTGCGACTACCGACGAACTTTTAATTTAAATTAGTTCATGGCGTTAAAATGTTGAAGTACCACTTACACTTTATATACCTATACTTATACCATAGAATTATAATGTGCACTGTTGGCTGCATAAAAAAAACCAATGTTCATCTGATGCGCCGATTTTTATTCTGATTTCGCCCCCCAGAAGGAAAATATAATGTAAATAATATACGCCACTTTACCCAGCTGAGCACTAATTGACATTTTTATATTGGTATACTATTGGTAGGTAAGTACCTATTCTGAAAGCATTAATGGATCACTGAATATTATTGGTATGTTCTACAGTCTATACCTATATACCAGTCTACAGCCTGCCATGCCGTGGTATACGTACCATGCCGCTATAATATACCTGTTGCAAGTCTATTTAACTCAATAAACACTTATTATTTCAAAAACTGTTAATATTTTAGAAAAGCAGAATATTTTTTGTAGTATTTCGATTTATAAAAATGTCCTAAAAAATGTAAGTCGTCAGACTGTAAATGCCTGCGACATTGTGGGTGATGTTAGCAATTAGCATTGCAACTGAAATCGTACAGCGCCACGAAATTTTTAAACATTAAATGCGCAGTGGGCAATGATTCAAGATTATCACCTGAAGACCACAGGGGACTTAAGTACGAACATATTACAAATAAAATTAACTGATAAAATGTATATGAACGTGTATGATTTAATTGTAACTTGTTTTATTATAAATCTTGAATAAAAAAATGTATGATCAAAATATTATACACGGAAAATAGGGTAGGTACTTTTAAGCAGTAAATAAGAAATAGAGTAACAACTATTAAAAAAATGAATTTAGTATAAACTAGCTATATATGTATGGTAGTGACGATTCTGTCTTATGGTTTTATGAAATAAATTTGCGATTGTATATATGTTACTACTTACTGCAAACTACGTTATATCAGAGTATATGACGTTATTTGATGGTCATTAACTTTGTTTGCCTACAAATAGGTTAGGTTTTATGTGAATTATCGTGATTTTTTGGTAAATCACTATAATTATTTTTACCTAGTTGAAAATGTATAAGATGTTCAATTGTTATACCTAAGACAATATATAACATTTGAATACAAGGTTTCTCATAAGTAATACTTACAGAAATCTAAAATACCAATTTTTACACAAGGTCTTACCGATAAAATTAGGTTAATTTGTAGCTATTGCCAATTTATACCACGCACTTATAATATTCACACCATCCTACTGTAAGCTGTTATTGACTTAAAAGTCAAAAGTCAATAACAATAACAATAATAATATGCGATATAAAATTTATAAATATAAACTTTTATGACGAAATTGGGTATTTAAATTATATAGACGTTGTAATAGAAAATATATTATTCGTACTTTCGTAGGGACTTGGATATTTTTCACCATCATGTATTAATTATTATTATCAACAATAAGCAATGGTATTTTCAAAATATTCATATTAATTTTAAGTTATTCATACGAAAAACCTACTTTTACCGTCCTATGGTATACGCATATAAGTACTAGCAACTAATAATGGTATAATTATTATTATATTATAACTTGTGTGATTTGTAGTTGCCAAAAATGTATTTAACCTACAAGGTAAGATGAAATTTGAAGTATGTTCGATGATTATGATCATAACACATGATTATAATACATGACAATTATTTTCATTAATGGTTATAGTCTATAACCATAAGTTATTTGTTCAAATTTACTTCATAAATTTTATTACTTTTCAATTACAATTTATGGTCAAATTTAAATACAATTTATTGCTTCGCTACTGCAATCACTGTCGTCATGCTAGTGCACTGCATGCAGTGTTTACGAATATCGTCTCTCGGAAGAGTATACCAATTTTAATAATATTATTATAGTGTACACAACGGACACGGTCGTAAAATTTACGTTGGAATTCGTGGACGTCAAACACACGACATATTTTTCCTGTTGGATTCGCTCGGAACCAGAATACATAATACAATAATGTTATAATCATATAATCCATATATTATACATAATACAGTCTTACGACCTGCGTTGTTTAATATTATGCAAAATACGGCGGCGGTGGCCTTGCTGCCTCCAGGTCTGCAGCAGTCGTACGACGTGTCATATGTGTATTAATATTATTATACACATCGGTAGTCGTCGGATAACAGAATTTTGAACTTAAGCCGCTTACTCGAATGTGTAGGTATGTTCCTCGTTCGTTTCCACATAATATATAAACTTCACGAAAGAAAGAAATATATACAAAAAAAAAAAGCGTTGCGGTGCAGCAGCGGACGAGATAAATATCGCCCGGCGAGAAAGCAATACGCGGTCGCCTATATATTATTTTATAACGATGTTTATGATATTATACGCGTAGGTAGGTATATAGTATGATATGCATTCGCGTCAGGTGTATGTTTTGATATTATTTCACAACCGGAGAAAAAAAAAATAAATCGAAAAATAATAATAAATAAGTCGCACCGCTTTTATATATTATATATAGGTACCGAATAGAGAGGCCGTGCCTGGCAGACGAGTAGGGTTTTGCGGCGCCGATGGTAGGGATCCTCTGGGAGCACGACGACCGAATAAAGCCGTTTCTTGGCCACTGTCCCGGCCGAGTCTGCGAACGTCACAACGACCTGCCGCCAGCCAGCCACAAGTCATATTATAGTAATATTATTATATTCGGTAAAACACAAGCGCATACAATATAATAAAACATTATTTTATTATTATTATTATTGCCTATTGTCGTTCGCGTCGATAGTTGTCGTCGTTGGGCATTCGATAACCGTAGAATATACGTCATATTGCAATAATAGTATAATAAAATTACTATCGTTTGTCATCGCCCGTTTTTTTGATTTTCTTTTTCTTTTTACCCGCACCGTTTGCTTGTTTCGTATTTTGAGATTTTGAGTTCGGGAAGCTCTCCCCGAAAAACCATACATTTAAATCCCTCAGTCGTGTACCGCCTATACCAGTGTCGATTACTGCTCAACGATGATCGACTACTTGCAGACAATTTTCGTCGTGGTCGTCGCCATGGTATACGTCCAGGCGGAAAAATCAAAAGTCATACGTAAGTCTAATATAATACATTTGTTTTTTACAATTGTTTTTCAGTAAAAGTGATTCTATCACTATTTAAGGGGAGCGTTGTTTTTACTTTTCCGCACAAAAACCTGTTTGTGTCGACTGCACGCTGACGGTTAAGTGAGAGTGGAAAAACGACGACGGCAACAAGTGGGTCATATTATTAAATCTGCTAGTTACATAGTCGTCAACACACCACCCATGAGTGTAAAATGTGGTACAAGCCCTAAATGTAACTCAAATATTGAAAATTAGACTCGCATAATCATATAGTTAGAATTTTCAGTTTTTAACAGCATAAGTATTGGTTGTTGTTGTTTACAATTTGGAAAAATTAAAAATATTTTTCGATTCGTCAAAACCATACCAGATAGGTAACACAATTTAAAAACACAGTTTTGATTGTCTGTAACAATTCACTTGATTACATACATTATAATATTATGAATAATGTATATATATTACACCCCCGCAAACCAGATACCGCTCAATCTATGAAGTAGACAAATTGCCGGTCTTTGTAGTGTGTATTCAATGTATAAACATAATTAAACAATACTTAAAGTTAATTATTAACTATAGTATATTGTATGTATAATTTTACTAATAGAAAAATTTATAAAATACCATACTATATAAACTTTATTATTATTTATTTCCATTATTAAGATTACCTATACAAAATAAAAATTAAAGTAAAGTAAAAAAAACCCATTATTCTTTATTATTACCTACGTGTTTGCCATGGTTTGCAATGTGTGACAAACAAAATATTATTACAAATTAAAATTCCATCATTCAGATTAACTACCTAAATTCTGCGTGTTAAATAAAACTGCAACACCATTACATTCTATAAACTTAACTACAGGCTATCTATAGGTATCTGTCTATTGACTGTATTATAATACTACTACAGCACATCTGCTCACGTCAGTGTTTTACAGGTTATTTGCTGTAGATTGATACAACAATATAATGTTATTATTATATTATTAAATAGTTTGTTTTTTAGCGAATGTCTAGTATTTACAATTTATCTTGGTTCTAATAATACATAATTTCGTAGTATGTTTAGTATGATTTCAAAGCTATTACAAACAATTATTGGTACAATCTGCAGTTTTCAAATAGTAGGTAATAATTGCAGTAGTTTTTAAGATTAACCACAGCATTACTCACAAACCGAATTAATTATTAAAATTATTAAAATTAAGAGATAAAGAGAAGAAACTAGTTTCAATCAAAATTCGTTATTATCATCACGTGTTGCCCAAAAATTGTTATGCCCTGACATTTACAATTATTATTAATATACAAAATAACAAAATGCTACGTATACAGGTGATGTGTAGGTATTTATCCGTCTCAATTCTCAACTCTTTACTACAGCAGTGTTCCATAATATACCCTAGAGCAGTAGAGCCGCATAAATGAGTAGATAATTTTTTGTATAATATGCGGTGTGTTGGTTGTAGATAGGTTTATCCTAATTATTCCTACTATCTATGTATGTAAATAATTGACAAATTATTGAATTGCAGTTTTTTCTAGAGTATACACTATATTATGGCGTGTGTGCATCGTGTTTATACTATGTTTATCTAAGTTTAATTTATCCTCTCAATTTTCACATAGTTTCATACTTCCATAGTATTACGAATTACAAACGTTGCTAACAACGGGTAATAACTGCCGTTCAAGATTAGACGCAAGTCGCAATCGATAATATAATTATTATCTTACGATGACTCCACAGATGACCGATAAAAATGTGTTGCATCAACATTGTACATAAATATAACACATATATATGTATTGGTGTTTGGACCAATAGTATAATATTTAATATTCCATAATACATATTATCATATATAGCAATTATAAAATATTTTGTAACACGTTTTGTAAACAGTTTTATGTAAAACCGTAGTAATACATAAACGCTGAAGTTCAGCGTAATTAATTAGGTCGTTGGTACGAATATAGTATTATATAAGACCGTAACAGCGTAACTATAGGCTATATAGAAGTTGCACAGTTTATGAATGAGCGGCAACTTTTTAAATTTACCTATTTTATGAACTAATCAGTTCATCGCCTATATAGGAATATATGATGTATATAACATCGATATATTATTATTATTAATTTAATTATAACCATTATTATTGCGACAGTATTTTTTTCTAGTTATTTTTGTACAGGAGGTGTATTGTGCTTTCAGATACAAATCACACTGAAAACTTCCACTTAAGAGCTCATGCACAATTCAAGTCTATACTATGTGATAATTTTTTACGTTTAGTTTTTCAATTCCGTTTTATAACGTTTTCCATAATATTTTCGACTCGAAAACACAATATTATATTTTCCCATCGCAGCATCACCTAAACGTACGCTATTGGTTCTTATAATAATATAGTCTGTATATATACGTAATATATAAACATATAATATAATACCTAGGTGTTTCATTATGTTCAATATATCGTATACGGTGACGAGAAATGTTAATTACAATAACAGTGGAAAAAATAGTAATAATAATAATAATAATGGATCGAATGAAAAACCGGTCGCGTGTTGGAATCGACCTGATTGAATTGCTGCTGAGGACCGGTACTGCCGTCGGTATAGCCACAGTCACCGCCGGCGTTGCATCATTCCCGAGACGCACCTATATGCATGCAGACACCGACCCGGTGCTCGACCCGAAGTTGGCTAATAGCCCCTCACGATAAGAACGTTTTCAAATGGATTATATTATTATTATTATTATTATCCGTCACACTGTATTATACTAGGTAGGTCTCGTAAAGGTACACTCCAGCATTACAACTCTACCGCGCCACAGTTCGACAACCTATATCTATAATGATGTTTCGATTCCCCCGAAGATGCAGCTGGTAACGGATATTATACTAACATATAATGTATACAGAGTGATTTACCAAACATGACCAACCACATTTATCTAAATTCTGATTTCGCGGAACTCTAAACTGCACCTATACTCAAATACCATATTTCAAAAACTTAGATTACAAGGCCATACAAACTCGTATTTATTTTTTTATATTTGAGTACTACCCTTTTTTACGGTTGACTGTAAATATTTAAAAAATTTCGATGTAACTGAATCAAAGCAAAAAGTATTTTAAACTTAACAATATGAAATTATGATGGTAAATAATAATCCATAATATAATAGCCGATAGGTTTACTAGATACGGAGCCATAGGGGATTAATTATGAGGATTTAAAAGTATCAAGGTAATCATCACTTGTCAATAGTAATCATTAGAATTTTAAAATTTGTAAAAATTGGTCGAGTGTAATCATTAAAAAGTATGTCTGTCTAGTGCAGATTACATAGTAAATATTTTAAAATATATTTTATACTTCATGTGTATCATACTATCATACTCCATACACAATGGTGCATGAAAAACCCAAGTGACTATTTGAAATTATGAAATAAAAAAAATTCCAAAACATTTGAATACGCGTTTTTACGGACATAGGCTATAGTTAAGGGATAAAATGTGAGCTGAACATGTGAATCACTCTGTACGTTTATAATGCACTTACCACTCAGCATACGTATACGGTTATCGGGTTGTGATGGTATATAGGTATAGATATAATGTAATTTAATATCCTGTATTCCGTGTGCCATGTAGCGATGGGGGCAATAATATCGTAAAACTTGTGAAACCAGAAAAAAGACGTTTGGTGAAGAAACTCTTCGAGTACAGATGTCGTTTGTTTATCATGTAGGTATAATAGGTATAATATATTATATTATTATATATTATACGTTGACATTTTATGCAATACCTCGTGCATATCTATAATAGTAATAATATTATATTATATTGTATCGACTATCATCGGCGGTCGTGTACCTACCTATGATGACGGTGTGTATGTCATGGAACATCGAAAACTATTATGTGCGTACACGCGATGTGAAGGTCGACAGTGTTTATACGTATGAGTATAATGCTATAATAATATTATGTTATATTATAATAATATTACGATGTGTGTATTAGGATGTGTTGCTTCGCAGTTTATGTGCACTTTTACGAAATTATTTTCTCATTTAATATTTAGATTTTCGTCCAAAACTCCCGGCCACGGACGTCGTGAATGGCGTACCGAATTACCTACCTATAATATTAGAATTTCGCGTTCATTTTAATCGTTTCAAATTAAATTTTTCTCAAGCACGAGAGTAATCAATCAAAAATGAACGAACTACAAATTATTTCAGAAGTAATCACTGGTTTACACTAAAAACTGATTTTTCTCCTTCAGAATGCAATTTGTGTACTTGATAAAAATTAAAAAAAAACACACCTATAATCTATTCTTATTTAAAATAAAACAATTTGTAATGTATTAATGATGATCTATGTGTATATAAAGATAATTTTAAAATTTTCTCTCCATCTATAATTTATAATACATGAAATAGTATGCATATTAACTGTTGACCGCATGTTTATAATTTTTTTGATGTACCATTAATAGTATTATATTATATTCTCAACAATTTTAGGCTTTTTTTAATTACCTTGATTGGAAATAGGTAAGTATAAAAAAAATGGTTTAACAATATAACTCATAAGTCATATCAATAATATTATAATTTCTAATTAAAATATTAAAAAAATATTCATTGTTTTAGAATCAAGTTTAAATGTTCTCATAGATTTATAGTTTATTTCGGTTTTTTGTGAGTTATGACCTATGAGGTATGTCTTAAAAGTTAAAGGTTATCCAATTATTATTTTTGAATCGTTTCTGAATTCTGTACAATTAAATTAATACGAGTTTCTTGATTTACTAAAAGCACGTTCGGTTATAACATTATATTCCTGTTTGATGTCATTGTCCGTTCTGCAGATAATGTTATCCAAGTTATAGGTACTCGGTGAATGTAATATTTTCTTACTATAAATGTATAAGTATGTTATTATTGCTTCATAGTTTATATAAATATAATATATAAAGCAGTTATTAAAAAAAGGTTCTTATAAGCTCACTATATGACCTATTTAAAATTGTGAATAAATTTGCGATCTCGTAAAAAGTGAAATTATAAAAAAATAAATTAAATGCGAATACGGGTTTTCCGTGCATAATTTTGTGTTACTGTGTTATGCGCATAGGTATAATATAAAAAGTAGCAAATGTTTGAAATTGTGCGTAAAAAAAAAATAATAACCAATAGATATTATTCATAGGTACTTCGTACTTATCTTTTGTTTCAAAATGTGTGTTTTGTCGATGTAACAACAGCACATTGTTCTTCTCTGTTGTTGTCGTATTACTGTAATTATGGTCGAGGGACATGATGGGCATAATATAATGGCCATACCTCGCTCTATACAACAGTTGATTATACAATATTAGAATAGTTTATAATATGATGTTAATGATGATACAAATCGATTAAAAAAATATTTCAACGTGTTTATAATGTTTTACAGCGCCATACATAAAACAATGCATACGAAACGACCCAAAGCTCAATGAATGTCTCGCAGCGGAAATCAATCATTTAAGACCGTACTTGAAAGAAGGTGAGTGATATCATTTGGAATATTATACGTTCCCATCATATTATACTCCATACACAAATTACACATATAGGTACACATTATAATGTTATGTTGACGATACTATAATAATAATAATAATATTGTACTCGTATTGTTTATAACGCGATTACTATTATTATATTTTATTTTTATTATTATGGATTTAATTAAATCGTCCGCCTTATTGGGACCTGGAGACGGGTCATCCACTCTTGGTTCGATCATACCAATTATTATGACGTAACGCGAGAAATGCGGTCAATGTCGCGTACCTACAACCACAACTACTGCCGCCGTCGTGGGGAGTTGTTATTATATTATTATTATTATTGCTATAATGTTTGGAAAACAACGTTTTTTTTCCTTCTGAAATTACAACGATAACGCACGTTATTATTTGTTAAGTATTCATGTCTCGCATTTCCTTTATCAAGGAAACGATATTACTCGTCCTTTTCAAGTATAAAAATGAATTGTTTATCAAAACAAATCCCACATGCAAGTAGCAAACAAATATAAACAATAACGTTGATTTTCATTTCAAAACTATAAACATAAATAAGCGGAAATCGTTCCTAAGTCTTAGCTAACATAACATTCCCAACGACTGGATAAAATATACCCAATAGTTATGAACATTACAACAATAAGAACAACATTATGTTATTGTTTTTATTTTAGATTACAATGATGTGTATTTTTTTTTAAATGTTTGATTACAATTTTCATATTTGTGTCCATCATCATCTTTTGTAGCAGTAGAACTTCTAAGGTTTTCAACTTCAATATCTTTTCTGATAGGACAGTGAACCTTGTTAGTACTCTGGGCGGTCAAAGGTGTAAAAATTCCCAGTACTTTTCTTAATACGTATTTGGGAAAAACATTATGGATAAACGGGCATTTTTAAGCAAATCCATTTTCTTATTTGGTTGTATATTCAAAAACATATAACCACGGTACCTACTTGAAATGTTCATTAAATGTTTATATTAGCAGGTACTCTCTAGGTGGGCGTTTGTAATTTTCTCCTAAAACAACCCCTCCAAAAAAATATTTATGTAATTTGCACCACATTTTAAGGTTATAGTTTGCGCCACACAAAATTTAATAAAAGGGATATAATTTTAAAAATATTTTGACTCTTTTTGAATTATAAAAATGTTCAAGTGGTCAAAAAACTCATTTAATTCAGAATTCTCAAAAGTTGTTACAACTGGAATTAAATAAAAAATGTTCGTAAATCCTTAATAAAGTCAGTAAGTCGTCATTGACTCGAAATTTAATAACAATAATATTATATGATATGAAATTTTGGCTAAAATTAATTCTTACCTACTGTATTATTAACAGTAAAATAAATTACTATAATAGCAATATAAATATATCATAAAATATATATAGGTACGTAGTACATAATATAGGCTGACTAATATGGGTCTCCTCCGTCTCCGCTCAGAATCGTTTTTCGTACTTACAAAGATATTTTATCATTGAATTTAAATTCACTCAACACCTACGTCCTACCGTACATTAAGGTTACTTACATTTTCCCTTTTTAGAAATGCATTTTTTAATTTTACCGAAGAGCTAAAACGTACAAGAAAGTATCTGTAAAGTATTGGCAATATGTGTGGAAAACTAGACACATCATTTTTATAATTTTAATACAAAAACATTAGAATTAACGAATAACGATTATAATGTGGTTGACAGTTATGTTTTAAATATAGGTTGTACAATTAAATATGTTTACTATAGGTACCTATGTGTAAACTATTATTATTATTATTATTAGCTATACAATTTGATAAAAAAATGTATATATGTGTTATACATAAGTACAATAAAAATAGAGGTTTAATTTAGTTACAATTAATTCTTTATTAGATTGAAAACATATTTTGTCTATAGGAATCGATGAAATTGAATTGCCACCCGTGGAACCTTTCAGAATGGATTCGTTGAGTTTAGCAATTACCGGTGGATCTAATGGCTACAAAATCACTTTGAGGGACATTGATTTGTTTGGAGCCAGCAATTTCTCCATTCAAAAAGTGTTGTAAGTTAAACTATTAGTGTATCATTATAGTCAGAACCCAAAAAATGTTATGTGACAAAAAACCCAATAAACAATAAATGTTTTTTTTAGTGTGAAATGATTTATCATTGAATTCAAATTGAACACATCCATTACAGTGATCTGTTCCCAATGACGATAGGTACACCCGAGATCTGTATAGTCTGCATGTAGCAAAGCGACTTGCCCGATTTTTTTATTATTTTATTTGACCATGATTTTAATTAATTTATTAAATCAATACCTATGAAAAGTTAAACAATTGAATAATAATTAATTTAAATAAAAAAAAAATTTGATAATATTTTTAAACAATAGTTTTTTTGCATTTTTATAGTAGTATTTTATTTCCATAGTCATCCTCATTTGCTTAACCTTTACATCAACCTGTCCATAACTGCAGTGTAGTTATTAAAATATTTTCAATTTTGACAACTTTCAATTATGGTTTTTACGACTTGTTAGAACTAGAGTTGTTATATTATTATTATTTTTGAAATCATATTAATTTATATATTATACATAAATATATATGATGAATAAGCAACTGATTGGTTGTTACTTATTAATAAGACCCTATGTAATTTGTTGTAAATTGTAACTGAATTGCAATATGGAAATTCAGATGATTAGTTTCTAATCATTTGTATAACACTGTTAAATTTAAGTGTATAATATATTAATATATAATTAAAATATAATGATATTATGAAAGAAGAAACTGTCCAGTTAACATATTAACGCACAGCCCAAACCCCAAACCACTATACATCTAGAAACTTGAAATTGTATACAAAGATTACTTATATAATTTAGACAACAACCAAGAAGGAATTTTGGAAATTCAACCAATAAGACTGAAATGGATAGTTTTGACACGGGGTGGCTCTGGATTGGGGATCCAATTATTCAATCGTCGTACAGATTTTAAGCATATAGTTTTATAGATAAAATTCCTATCCCTAGAAAATTGAGTGATGAAATAAGAATATAATATCCGTATCGGTTTCACCGTCTGCCGGTTCTTATAGCGAATCAAAAAATGCTTTTCTACCCAATCATTCGACCTAGTCAAAATTGGTGTTATTTACATCCGCCGTTTATTTTCCCGTCGAAGCTACATCTAAACCGATTTTCTCGCGAAGTATAATTAGTAATTAAACTTAAATCGAAATACACCATACGCAGTATTGTATTTTATATTTGTCATTTATTCCCCGACGAAATCTGGTATATGTGTGTAGACTATACTCATAAAAACAAATTCAAAGTATAAAAAAGTAATATGTCTCATTCAATTTTGATTTTAAATTTTCATATAATTTATTTTTAATTAATTTTTGACTTAATTAGCAAAATTATATTTTTTTGGAACACTAAAGAACACTTTTTTTTAACAAGGTCATAGACGTATATAATTGTACAATATTAACATGTCCACTAGTACATAAAAATAATATCATTATACGTATTGTAATTTCACAACTAAAATGATAAATGTTTTCTTATGTTTTTTCGTTACTCAATTTTTGCCTTCATGATTTCATCGGTATTGATATACAATTTATTATTAATGTATTTTATTTAATTCTAAAATAAACTTTACAGTTTATAATAATCTTGTGAAGGCGTGATGAATATGCAATTTCGCTACTGCCACGCTATGGTAGACCAACGATTAACGATTAACGATTTTTGTAGGCGCCAAAATAATGATTTAATAAACCAAAAATTGAATGTGGTACGATCGACGACTATTTTTATGAAATATTTCTATAATTATAATCTATATTGCACGTTCAATTCAGATAATAATACTATAAATTAATTTAAGTGTATTTAAATTATGAAGTAAAATCGTTTTAATAAAACAAATATTGTATTATACGTTACGAATACGGAATAATCATAGAACTGACCATATTATTACACACTATCTCAATGGTTTGCTGATTAGTAGTTTGATATTTGTGGATTCAAGCTAAACAAACTATATTTGTTATTATACATTTATGTTATAGTTTTTTCATAACATTATTATTATTTTAATTTAGATTGCGTCCGAATGCACCATTTGAAGGTAAAGTCAGAATTCCAAAAATGACAATGGATGCCAAATATGCCAGTACTGGAGTTTTGTTAGTGCTGCCTGCTAATGGAAATGGATCATTCCATGCAGATTTAGGTTTGTGTATTTTATTTTACGTAATAAATGTTTTCTGTGTAATAAATTAATAAATCAAATATTGTTTTTAAAATGTATTTAAATATATTTAAAAATATTATTCTATTACAATATATTTTACAGATATTTTAGTGAGAAATCTATATGTTATTCTATAAAATATAAATTATCAATGAAAATAAACAAATTTTAGTATAGGACAAGGTTACCTTTTAATTATATAAATACGTAAAATAATTGATTCCCGACTACAAGATCCTACCTGACAAGGACTTAAGAGTCATGTACGAAATACATCTCGGGTATTCAATAACTCTCAATTATACAATTTTTATTTTAAATCTAACTATTTAAATGCAATTTAAAAAAAATGTTAGCTAAAATATATTAACTGTGTTAATATTATGTATTTTAAATAAAGGTATTATGCTCAACGCATTATATTATAATAGGACTTTTATAAGTCAATATTATTATAATTTTATAAAACTTTTCTATTTAATTTACACAGGCATCCAATATTTATTTGTTTTTATTAAATCTTCATTTAAATCTTTATTTTAGGTGATGTCACTGCTACAGTAAAAGGAATCGTGTCTAGTTATTACAAAGATACCGAAAAATATTACAACTTGGACTTCTTGGAAGTAGATTTAGTCATAAAAAAAGCATACATGGTTGTTAGCAAAGTCAACAATAATAGGATAATTGGTGAGTGCAAAAAATAAATATTAGGTACATACCTAGAAGTACAGAAGACCAGTATTTAGTTATAACTTATAACTTATGATGAATATAAAATGTTTTGTTTGCACAACAATTCAAATATTGATTTATTTAATAAATTATTTTAATGGAATGAATAAACCAATATAATAAATCAATTGTGCAATAATTAGAAATGTGGTATTTAATTAAATTTAATCAAATAATAAGTTAAGTGAACAACTGTTTAAAATATAACGATACATTAGTATAATAATAAGTATTGTATGTAGTACCTTATAACCCGTTTTATTCTAAAATATATTCATAATTATTCAGTACCTAACCACTATTTATTGTTGAAACAAGATTTTATTAAATAAAACTCAATTTAATGTTTTAGTTGAAGCAACAAACTTATTTTTGCGTGAAAACGGCCAGGAAGTATTACAAGTAATGATGCCTCAACTCCGAAGCAAATTGGCAGCCATTTTCAAGGCGATAGTCAATCAATTACTGACTCACGTCCCCGCAGATACGTTCTTCAGTAATTAAATTACTGTTATCATAATAGGAAAAAAAGAATTTCGAGTGAAGAGATTAATTATTTCACTTTTTTGCAGTTAAGGCTCTTTTTAGACTAATTTTGTTAATAGTATTATATTTGTATTATTATTTTTTTTAAACTGATATACGTTAATTGTAGTATATAATATGTCGTAAAAAAACTCTTAGGCTTGTGTGCACCAAATTTCCTTTGCCACAGTGCCATCCAAAGTATGATTTGTTTTAAATTATCTGATATATTATGATACATTGACATATTAATAAACATTTGATGTTAATTTAAAATCAAATACCCTATAATAGTCTACACATAATATTATGAAAATTATGTGCATTTTAAGACTTGGTTGTATATCGTTTTTGCATTATTGTTATAAAATATATACATTAAAATTATTATTTTACTTATATTCGCTACTCGTCTCATTATATTTTTGAAAACATTTATCGTATATACTCTATAGATAATATTATAGTATTAATTGTTTTAAATTATTATTTATGTGTATTTTGAGTGATTTCATTATGAAATAAAACTCACAGAAAATTGATTTGTACCAATTGTACCTACCACTGCCGAATGATAATATTATGAAACAATTGTATTTTTTTTTTAAATATTATTTGAGTTTATATTATGTAGTTATTGTTAACAGCCTATGTGTAACAGTGTTTGTATAAAACTAATTATCATTTGAATAACTCTTTTCCATATCTAGTTAGATCCAACATTTCACCACATTCATAAACACATATACACTATATACACAATACATAATATATAATAAATCGTATATGTTATATATTTTTGTAATTTGTATGTTATTAAAATTGATATATTACCTACATAATTCATAAATTATTTTGATCTAGTTTATTTTGTAGTGTACCTATTTTGCTATACAAAGTGATTTACTAAGTATGCTGGCCCCATTTTTTCAATAATGCATCTATTTATATAGTATAAATAATTTTGAATTAGGTGCATCAAAATGATCCATTAAGTAATTTACAGTTTAAATAAGGGGATTCGCATTTGTAAAATAACAAAAGATACAAACAGTTATTTGTATGGCCACAGAACACTTCTCAAGTAATAAAAAAAAATCAAAATTTTAAAATATGGTATTTTAGTATATTTAAAAATTCCAAAAATCAGAATATGAACAAATTCATTATTAAAGGAAGAAATGGAGGTGAGTATGCTTGGCGAATCACCTTGTGTAATATAACACACTAATATTAATTATTACACTTTTTAATGTTTATATTGGTGAGAAGATGCAGTCAGTAGAAGGTCGTATTCAATAATTGTATTGTTCTGCCGTGACATTTACCGTCGTCCGATATAGTATTGAATTTTAAATTCTGAATGAAGTGAATTATGTATTATTGATTTTACAATGATGCTGTTTTTTTCAATATTTTATTCTATGAACACTTGTTGAAAGAATACATCAAAAGTGTCAAATATAGTCATATTTTTTGATTGAAAAATCTAATCTAATTATGGTAAGTATGAAGAATCTACTAGCTACTTGTAAAAAGTAATTTTCGATTTTCTCAAGGTAGTTTATCTTAGGATAAACTACCATTGACCGTCGTACAATTTTAAAAGTAATGTCGACAAGTGCAATTATAATTTTTAATATTAAAACGTACCTCCTATAATATTATCCTCACTGATCATAGTGATGTTAGACAAGTTCCCAATATGAATAAAATAAAAATGGTTACCTACCTATATTATTTCAATGAAACTGGAAAAAAATAGTACAAATGATGGTATGAATTGATTCTTTTTTTTTGCATTTAAGACGTCTTTGGAGGTTTTCGGGAATCTTAAGGACTGGTAGAATTTCTACAAGTGGGTGGTTAAATTGCTGTGGAAAAGTTTATAAAATAGTTTTGATTCTCCTTGAACGAACTTCACCTTGAGATCCAAATGTGTTGTAAGTTTAGAAACTTAGGATGAGGCATTCATTCATTTTAAGAACAATACGAAATAAAAAAGGAAAACCATTCCGGTTAAATCCATTCGTCTCTTTATATTTCTATAAATTTCAAAATGGATTTAGATTTGTATCGTTTTCCGTTGACCACATGGTTTGTACCATTTGGTTATCGTGGTATTATACCATGTACAGTTATACAACTTATATAATAATATGGATTTTCCATAAGAGTTAAAAGCAGTGCAGTAGATAGGAATTATTTTTGGGCTTCAGTATTCAATGAGTATCTAATGAGTAATGTAATCTAATGAGTATCTAATGACTAATGAGTAATAACCAAAAAATAAGGTGATTTTAAATAATTATTTAATTTAAAAAAAAAATTATTACTAAAAATATTAACTTAAAAGTAATCATTTCATGTCATGGCTATAATAAATATTCTATGGCAGTGGTTCTAGCTTAGGTGTCATCGTTTCGAAGGTTTATTTTTAGTCTGTCATAACCCGTGAAACTAACGTAAATTCGTGAGAATTAGATGCTGATTAACGATATAAGTGTACAATTTTGAAAATCTAATCTTTTTGTTATTAGGTAAGTACTTTGATAGTAAATTAAACCGACCGTAAAAACTAACCACGAAATTAATGACTTTTAACGAATACCACTTTTAGATGAGTATTTTGTTCATTATATTAGTGGTTATTTTTTTTTTCTAATAACCAGAGTGTAGTTATAAAATAATATAACATCGATTTTCATACATACCTATTACCTAACCTAACCTAACCTATAGTTAACTCGAGTGGTGGCGTGTACATAATTTATTTTTAAAATCCAGTGTAACCGTTTAATTATTAAGTTTTTGCTCACGTATGTAATTAATTTGTTATTCATTTTATCGATACGTATGTATACCTATATGCATATAACAAAACTTGCAATTTAACTTGATAAGTCATCATGACAGATGAGTAAATATATTTCCAAAATATAGGTACTGATGATCACTATGACATAGTTTATTATGTTATAAACTTTTAACTCATTATGATATGATTATCAGACTAAGCTGGGACTCGATATTTGGATGTGCTTTGAAAAAAAATTGAGTTTGTATTTAAACCCCATAGACAAGTGGTTCCCAATTAGTTAGGAGCCATGGACCTCTAGTTAAGACTTAAATTGGTCTGGGGACATTTTTTTTTTACTTTTTTTTAATTTGAATAAATTTATTATATTTACGATATTTGAATTTCAATAGTCCAACAATTTGGGCTATCGTCCGAATTTATTAATTTCACTAAAATAAAATAAAAATCACATTAGTACCTACTGTACACAACCACGGACCCCCTAACATCAACATGCGGACCTCTGGGGGAGGGGGTTTGTACTAAAAACCACACCAGCTCCGATACCCTTAAATTGTCTTATGCCAAATTGTATTTGTTTGTTTTACTCGGAATCAAAAACAATTTATTGAAATAATTAATATAAATAATTTTTCTTATTTTCACGTAGTTACTAAAATCTATATTTGTTATAAAAACACTTTTGAATTCCAATAAATCAATAAAAGTATTAATAGTCACCTCTATATTGTAATCGAATTGATATCATAAATAAGTAAAACATTATAATGTATAAAGCGAATGGACCTTGCTGCCGGAACCAAAAGATTTTAAAAACCTACTAAATACTAATGCCTTGTCTGTATCTGTTGGCGATTTTCGGGACCGGATTAAGATAATTTTTTTGTTGGTGTACCTATTTGGGTAATATTATTATAGTATGCGGTCACGTTTCTATACCTACGTCATAATATGCGGTTTACTACACGTTTTTACACGTCACATACCTTAGTTTACCGTATTAGTTGAATAATTTAATTAAAATATTATGAATAAATAGGTACAATGAATAATAATATATTATAGTATATTATCTAGTAAAACATCATTCAATAATGCGCATACGACAGACGTATACACCGCAAGCCGTTATCTAATTATCTCATTAAAATCCAATAAATTATGTTTCAATTTCATTAAGTATAATCCCTTTCCATTTAAAAAAATTATAGCAATAATTTTTTCCGCCATTGAAAAATTAATTAATATACCTTTTTGGCTAACATTGTTAAAACAAAATAACGTAACCCGTGTTTATAAATAAACCGAAGATTATCTCATACGGTCACGATTTTTTTCCAGACACAGGTGGGTGTTATATTTGTAAGATAGAAGCAGACTTTGGTTGGAATAAAGTTTAACCGTCGTCGCAGTCGACTTGGTAGACGCGTTTTAATTATATAGACACACCGTAGTAGACTCGAAAAGACGTGTACGGTAGAGTAGTATTATAGACCATTATAGTATTACGACAAGAATTATTATTACATCCATATTTGTATGGGTAGGTACACGATGATTAAATATTTTTTAGTAAACACACAATTATCTCTATAGAATATGAATTGATGACGCGTAAAAGTATTGAACTTGTAATGTTTCTTAGTAATCTATTTACTATCTTTATTTTTTAAATATAAAATCACAATATAACAAGTATAGGTATTAAAAATTAAAACAGGTAATTGTGTTTAAAAATAATTATGATGATAGCTGTGTATGTATATGTATAGGCGTATAGCCATATAGACGTATGTATAAAAACCTGTAGGTACAGTTATTTTATACCTACTATAAGATTAGTATGTCACATGCATAATATAAATAATTCATACCTATTATATTATTATACAGACAGAATTTTTACCGAAAATGTTAATGTTTAGACTGTAGGAATAAGAAATACAGAAAAAATGGAGTTTATCCATTGGTACCCTTAAAACGACCTTTTCATATTGCGCTCGGTAACTTTAAGGGTTGATATAGACCAATAAATTGCGCTAAATAACAGCCTAATAATTTTTATTTTATTCAATAACACGACATTATTTTTATAATATCGCAATGAACATGAACGTTAATATTACATTTATAGGTAATCTCATATACATAAAATATA